ACAAAAGCGATTAATGAAATTATTGTTCAATTTTATTTTCCAGCAGTTCTTAAGTCAATTATAAAAGTTGATCCTTTGTCACGTGTTGATATTAACTGGGAAAATTGGATACTTTCCCAGAAAATCAGTTCAGTTGATCCCCGTCGATGTGAGGCTGGCCATATCCTTTGAAAGTAAAATTGTGCTAAGAGAGTGGGTGTCACGACGGTCTCCCATAACTTAACTTTGTCCTTTGTAAACTTGGTAAGGCGACGGGCCGCATATAACCAACGTTTTAAACCGGTATAAAATGAAAAACAGCCTGCTTAGCCTTTTTTTAATCCTATTTATTTACCTGTTTAGTATTTAATACATACTTTTTATAGCAGTTGCTGAACATGACTTTCATATCTTTTTCTTTGACTATCCCACCCTGATGTGATATTATATATTTATATCAAACAATAAACGAAAGCAATAAAGCGGACTAAATGTCAGGACTACCTTTAAATTAAAAATCTGCCTGCAAAATATCAAAGATATATTTTCTCTTTTTAATTAACCAGCTTCCATACCAAACATCATCACAGGCAAAGAATTCGTAACATAATTTTATGAGGATGTTGAAACGTAATTCACTCTGCTCTCGTCTGTGTAAATGACTAATTTCTTTTTGTCTTTTACGCATTTTTCCTTATAGACTTTTCTGGGTGGAGCCATTATGAGGGATGGATTGCTCTTTACATTTCTCACTTTATGTGACGACACAAACACACACACACACACAGTGACATAGTATAAACCAAATTTAAAACTGACAGTGTAAAATATTGTCAAACAAATTTTTCCTGCAAACAAAACAAAACTTATTTCAAATGTTTTATTTGCATTTCCCCAAGAAAGAACAGCGGGTGGGCTGCCCGGGGGCCGTCAGGTGGAAGAGTGGATGCTCTCAAGGCGAAATTTGCCCCGGGTTACAAGAATGTGGAAAGCTCTTTCTCTATAGTGTAATGCGATGTAAGTGGTTTTTATCTACATCCTCCCAATGCATCCGTAAGAAAGACGGACTTCCCAAATTTTAAAAAATGTAAAGTCTAAAGGGGGGGGGCCTCTTTTCTCGATGGCGGATTAGGAAGGCGTAGCAGGAAAACAAATAAAACAAAAGAACTGTAAATCTGTAACTTGATTTTGTGAGAAACTGCAAAATTGCAAATCTCATATCCTAAAAAAAAAAAAAAAATAAAAAAAAAAAACCAAACATAAGAACATAAGGAAATGTGTATAAACAAATACTCACCCAAATACTCGGAGAGGGCGTGATAGAGAGGGAGGGAGAAAGAGAAGAGAGAGAGTTATGAAGGTAGAAATATAAAACAAGAAAGATTGTGGCAGAGGACTTACATGTATATAGAAGATTATGTAAAAATATAACATAATTAAATTATGTGGTGATTAGTGACCGTTAATCGATTTCTAAATAAATAATTAAATTATAAACTCTCTTCGTCGACATAACAGCAAAGCAATAAAAATATCTATCAATAAAACGTTATCTTCGCCAAAGCAAAGTGATTAACTTTCAAGTTCAAATTCATAAGTTAAATGGTTTCAGTTTTCATTATGACGAAACAAATCGTAAAAGAAAAAAATAAACATCACACACACACACACACACACACACACACACACACAATAAGAGATAGATACATAGAAACAGAGACGAGAAAAATAGCCAAATTGTAATATAAATGGCTAGAAATAAAGATGAAATAGATGAACTAAAGAGATACTTAGATGGATTGCTAGACAGATAGATTGATAGATAAATAAATGAAATTGAGAGACATTTAGTAAATTGTTAGAAAGAGAGAAAGATAGATAGATAGATAGGCAATAGATAGGCCAAATAGTGAAATAAATGAATAGAAATAAAGTGAGATGATAGATCAAATAGAGAGTACATAGATATATTGTTTAACAAATAGATAGATAGATTAACAGATAAATAGATGAAATAGGGAGTAATGTAGATAGATTATTAGATAGATAAATAGATTTGTAGTTAGACTGATAGATAAGTGGATATTAAGATGGATTAATAGATGAAATAGGTAGTAATGTAGATAGATAGTTATATAGACAGATAGATAGATAGATATAAAAGAATAAGAGAGAGAGAGAGAGAGAGAGAGAGAGAGAGAGAGAAAGAGAGAGGGAGAGGGGGGTAAGCTGGCGACAAAGTTAGAGAACTTAAATGAACGTGAGAGGAGGAGTTGGGAATTGAAAAAAATAAATATCGACTTAGAGAGCTAGAATTAGGTAGATAGATAGATATATAAATTAGAGATAGCTAGATAGAAATAGTCACCAGATAGACAGTTAAAATAGTGTGATTCATAGAAATAGAGGTGAGATGGATAGACGAAATAGAGATACATAGATAGACAGATAGATGAAATAGAGAGGTATACAGATAGATTGTTAAACAAGTAGATAGATGGATTAATTGATCAACAGATGAAATTGGGAGTAATGGAGACAGATTGTTAGGTACATAAACTCTTAGATAGATAGAGAAATTGAAAAATAGAGATGACAGATGAAAGGGAAAGACAGATTTATATTTAGAAATAGGTAAGTACTAGACATACTTCAGTCAGATCGATAGATATATAGATAGATTGGAAGAGAGAGAGAGAGAGAGGGGGGGGGTAAGCTGGCGACAAAGTTAGAGAGTTTAAATGAACGTGAGAGGGGGAGTCGGAAAAGTGAAAAAAAATAAATATCGACAAAGAGCGATATTAAATTAGAGATAGTTAGATAGAAATAGACACGAGACAGACAGTTAAAAAAGTGTGATACATTGAAATAGAGGTGAGATGGATAGACGAAATTGAGATACATAGATAGATGGATGAAATAGAGAGGTATACAGATAGATTGTTAAACAGGTAGATAGATGGATTAATAGATCAACAGATGAAATTGGGAGTAATGCAGATAGATTGATAGATACATAAACTGTTAGATAAATAGAGAAATTGAAAGATAGAGAGAGAGAGAGAGTGAGAGAGAGAGAGGGTGAGAGAGAAAGAGAGAGAGAGAGAGAGAAAGAGAGAGGGAGAGAGAGAGAAAGAGAGAGGGGGAGAGAGAGAGAGAGGAAAAAAGACAGATTTAAGGATAAATAACGATTGACAAAAAAAACTTCAAATTTATTAATTTTACCACCCTTAGAATCGCATCATCCTCCATTCAGACAAGAAAAACCGTAACAATTTATTGTTTGCACTGAAATAAATTCATCATCATGAATGCTCAAGCGAATTCAATTAAAGAGAAATGAATTGAAAATCCTGACAGAAAAGAATACTCTTTTAACAGGAAAACGTACCATTGAAAAAACGGAAAGTCACTCGGTTAAATAAATAAAGTCAGGATTCTGTTGTGGACTTAACACGATAAAAATTTAAAAGCTAACGTTTAACGGACATTTTGATTATTTTATTAATGGATTGGTGTTAAGCTTTCTTTACAAATCCACTTCTTGTGAATATAATCTGATTTTAAGGCTAAAATCGTCTTTTTCCTTATTGACTTTAGTGAGTGAAAAATCGTCAATTTATCAATTTAACGAAGATGAATGTTGATGTTTTTTATTTGGGCAGAAAGTGTATTATTGGAAGATTGATATGAAATGATTATCCCAATTAGAGAGGTAATGGTGGAATTTCGACAAGATAAATTTTTTGTAAAGTAGAACATTAACCAAATTATTAATGTTTTTATGATTCACGAGAGTTTACACTGAATTAAGTTGGAGAAAAATTTGAATATTTTGTATAGAGTTTAATTAAAATGTATGTAAAATGTGGTAAATTGGACGAGGTAAAATGAACGGCTATGTTGATTTTATTAGTAATTGATTAGCAATTATCAAATATTGATAAGATTTTTATTTTAATATGGTTTTTTTCTTTTTGTATCTTTTGTAACCGACGGATATGTGACACCGCAGAAAACAGGTCAGATTTCAAACCGAACACTTACTTGTGTCTTTCCGAGGAGGAGGTCGTTCATAACGGTCGGTGGTGCTGTCCTCCTGGCATTTTTATCCATCCGGGAGACGTCGCCCTAAGTTATGAGATATTAAACCGGGTTTCCACTGTTTTGAGGGCGGTTGGGGGCAGTTGCCAAGGTGACGCTGGGGGCGGAGATACGCCCTTAAACATCTTTAACAGCCCCCGTCGACTGGGGGGTGGGTGGTAATCGGTCGGGGAATTATTCAATTTCTGTCTGGGTCGCCCGGTCAATTTGAAAACCGCCGCCTCATCGCGCTTAAATAAATTAATTAATGAAAAAGCCCCACGTCGGGATCGAGTAAATCCGATGAAAACCTCCCCTTGATTGTTCAAACCAGTCCGAACGACATTATATACAAAATTGACAAAGTTCTCCTACGTCCGGTCCAACATGAATATTCACCCCCTTTGAAATTAAAGCACGACCGTGCTTTAATTATATACTAACAATTAAAACACTGGCCAATTATGTATTCATTAGTAATTAAAACGAAATGTTAGAAACAATGCTTGTACTCAACATCCCTGCATAAAACGAGCATAACATCATCATTTAATTCAAACCTTGGATAATTAATTGTTTATTGTTTAATATTTTTTCTCGTTTATTTTTCAGTTACCTCTCGGTTTTCCGTGTGTGCGCTGTAAGAGCTGATGTTGGATATCTTCCTCGACTCCATCCGGACCGCTTTGAGTCGGCGTGTTTACGCCTGTTTTATATCCGTGTGAGCTTCCTCACCGGAGGGGGAAAGTGATAAGACTATTTTTACAAATCCCAATTCACGGAGTTGTGAACTATTCAGTTGGAAAATTGGGTTTGAAAGTTGTACGGTATATTTTTGGAATTTGACAAATTCTTTGTTTATATGTCTTTCAGCTGTGGCTTGAACACAAGTTGAGAGGAAACTGTAGAAGATTAGGTAATCAAATTCAAAAGAAACATACTGTAAAATATCTGTATTTACAATATCAAAAATTCCCTTTTCCACAGTCCCTTCCTTTTCTAAAAGAAAAGTACTGGTAATGGGATTTCAAGTGGAAAAGGTTGAGAGTTATAAATAAATAAATATATATATAACCGCGTTATATAACCAACTAGAGACAAATGGAAATGACTTAAAACCTGTCTTTCTTTGACTTGCCTTTCCTTCTTTTTCTTTTAGTAGAGATAGTTGTTGTTGGGTTTTACGGGTTGGCCGCACTTTCCAGGATGGACGACGGTGAGGAGGCTCCGCGATCGGCAGTTCTCCAGCTCTAGGAAACAGTCGTTCGAGTAGGTTTTGTTGTCAGACGCGCAGATGGGATCGTAGAGCGTGGGGCAGATCTTAGAGCAGCCTTGGAACTGGAAGCCGACGAGGCATCGCTTGATCGGCACGACGAACACATGTTTCCTGAAACGACAATTAGCAGGAAGGAAGAGTTTGAATACCGGCATACACGATGAATTACTCACCCACAGTTGTCTCTCTTCATCTGGCATTCGTTTCTGTAGAACCTGTTGTCGGATCCGCAGACGTAGTTCCTGTGGTCCGGGCACTCGAGGCCGCAACCGGCAGTGGTCGGGCAGTTGCGAAGTGGAACCGGGACCACCCTCTGGCCGCAAGTGAGGCGTTTTAAATCACATTCGGATCTGTAAATAAAGAGACGTTCTAAAACGGCACCGATCATAAACACGAAACGCTAATAATTATATAAATCCCGGACCTGTATACGTTTCCGTCTGAGCCGCAGGTAGGAGAAGTCTCGGCGTCATCGCAACTATCTGGGCATTCTTCGTGTTTCAACAGTTCGACGCACCTTCCTAAATGGGCCAGCTGGACTCCTCTCCTAAAAATATTTTTGCATTGTATATAGATTCACATAAAAAATTCACAAATGCGACTGCTTACATGCAAGAGGCGACTTGGAGATGACAAGAAGACTGATATGTTTTCGCATCGGATCCGCATACTTCCTCAGTTACATCGTCACACTTGATTTTAGCACACTTGTTTACTCGATTCTTACATTTCTCGAAGTCCACCCTGACGACTTTCCTCTTTGCATGAGAACTGGAAGAATAGGAAAATTTTAACGTTGGCTCGTCCCCGTGTTCATCTTTTGAGGTTACCCGCAGTTGAGAAGGTTCATTTCGCACTCGCTGCTGTAGACGTTCCCGTCCGAGCCGCAGACGACGCCCTGTTCTTCGGGGCAAGAAGTCGGGCACGCTTCGTCCTTCTGACCGCTCGTCCTTTCTTGGGAGAGACAATACGCCATCGGCACCTCGAAAACGTGTTTTCCGCAGTTCTTGCTCTTCATACGGCACGAATTGGAATAGACGATTCCATCAGAGCCGCAGGTCGGCTTCGCGTTCCTCCAACACGATTCACGGCAATGCCTCGTCGTTTGGCAGTTCTTCTTCGATGTTTTCACCACCCCCTGACTTCAAACAGAAATAAAAGGTTTATAATTCTCAATAGACGAATAAGTATCAAGTAAAAACGTAATTAAGAAAATATGCATGGACTAACCCACAAGTTAGTTTCTTCATGAGGCAAGAATTCATGTAAACGTTACCGTCGCTGCCGCAGACAGGACCATCCTTAGGCGCCATATCGCAATTCACCGGACAGTTCTCCCGATGTGCGCTTATGTTGTTGCACGGGCCCATGTGCGAAAACTGCACTCCAGTTCTGAAAAAGAACAAGACGATCCGGTTAATTTACTTGCTCCATTGAGGCGGACACGATTGTCTACAGTTAACACCTTCCATTTCTATAAGTTTAAAGAATTAGTTTGAAGTTTAAGTTAGAATTTAATAAAGGTCAACAAACTATAGTTTTTTTTACAGAAGAGCGGTGAAGAGTGCAGTGCTAGGAATTACTTTAGACGTGTCAAATACCGTTAGACACTGTGGACAGATTCCACAATGCCGCACAATCCAAAGGAATAAAGAAGAGACCTGCATGTCTGGACGCGGAGTAGGCACGGGTTGAGGTAGGTGTGGCCGTCCGTTCCGCACGCCGGGTCTCTTTCCTTCCCACACCTATGGTCGCATTCTGAGTCGTTGGCTCGTACGCAAAGGCCCGATCCTTCCGCAGCTGTCCGTACGCCTCTTCCGCAAGTCCTTTTCTTCATTTCACAGACACTGGGATAAATGACTCCGTCCGAGGCGCAGACTGGGTCAGAAGGGCCCGGAGATGGGCACACCCGAGGACACCCGGAGTCCCTCGCCGCCAAGCAGGCACCTGAAACATCAAACGGTTTTATATCGAACCCGATGACTAAGTCCTACTTTTTTCATTCTGCGTCCTGATTCATTTGAAAGTATATGGTTTTTTTACTGTTCTGGTTCGATTCCGCACAATCCGGTTTTTAACTAGACTAATCAGCCTTTTATTTAATGGGGTTTGAATCCGACATTAGCTGTTTTTCTCTTGTTCGGTCTAATTCTTTTCTTCCGGATCCGAATTTATTAAATTTCTTTTTTGTTCAATTTAAATTGTGCATTTTGTTCAATGTTTAATTCAATTAATTAAACCCGGGGTTGCTTTATTACAAAAGCCAGATCCGAGAACTCGTATAATTTAATTTCTAATCCTATAATAAAATTACATTGCACGATAATTTAATCACTTTACTCAGAACTAGACAATAAAACGAAATAACCTTTGTAGAGAAAAGAATAACAAAATAAAATGATAAGTGTAGATTGATATATTGCAACGGTTTCCCAGATAGGTTGGATACACCTGAAAATAAAATGCACAGACAAACTACTAATATAGAGACAAATGGCCAACCACGACTAACCAAAACCCGCAAGGTTCAGGCTTATAATCATAAATTTCCACCTACTTATAAAAAGACGTACAGGATATCAAATTTACTGTTAGATCGCTTGTTTTTTTCTTCAAATTTTATTGTTCGTACCATCCAATATATTGGATTGTCCGTATCCATGGATAACAGATATTCTTGATTGACTCGTTATATAAAACATAATTCTCATGTTACCGGATGAGCCGGTTGATCATCTCCGATCTTCCTGGCTTATAAAACGAAAAAAAATAAATAAAAAAAGTCGTATATCAGAAACTGTACCTTAATGTTTTATTATCTTTGACTCCCTCTTGACTTGTAAAAAGACAGGGTTGATAATAAAACACCCCTCGTAAATCAGAATGTGTCGTTTTATCTGCAATTATTCTGGCTCGCTTCTGATTTTATTATTTTTAAGGATGAGATTGAAAATAAAATTTTCAATATAATAAAAAGTTTTATTTGCCTCTTTGGTATTCGATCTTGAAAAAGGATTGTCAATAAAATACAACTACCATTAATCAGGATCGGTTGTAACTTTGATCGTTCTGACCAACATCTCAAAATGAACATGATTGACAATAAAAAAGATCACAAAACTGTCGTTAAATTTTTGATAATTCTGGCTTGTTCCTGACAAAAATGGAAAATCGTAGGTAAGACTGCTCTTTTACAAGGAACAGAATTTACAATTTAAAAAAAATCAAAAATCTTTGCGATTATAGTGTTTTTCCCTCTTAAAAAAGATCAGATCTATAATTAAACATAAATAAATAAATTAATAAACGAAAGCAGTTGTTAAATATTCGATCCGGGTTAGGTCCTGATTTAAGAATGGCAGGAATAGCCATAAAATTTAAAAAATCATAAATCAAAATTTAATATATCTCAGATCATATAGTTCCTGTCTTAAAAATACTCAAAAATGTAGTAAAAATGTTAAATTAAGAGAAAGAATTCAGCGTTTAAAAAATCATAAATCAGTTTTTTGGTCATCTTCATTGGTCTGGCCAGTTCCTGATTTACAAAAAGGAGAGGATTAATAATAATTTTTTCTTCGAAATCTCTTTAGATTTCAACCATTGTGGCCAATTTTTGGCTTATACCAACTTTAAAAATCAACAGAAACCATTAATAGAGTCAATCGGAGAATTAGATGTGAGATCACTCTAAAAAAATTTAAATCATATTTTGAAGAAGTTCTTTGATCATTCCGGTCAACTCTTGGCTTAGAAAAAAAACAACAACAGGATTTACAATTTAAAAAAAAATCATGAGTCACAATCCCGATCAACTCCTACTTACAAAAGACTTGCCAATGAAAAAAAAATGGCTCAGAATCCTTAGATCGATCTCTCATTAGCCTGCCCAACGTTAGACTTAACAAAACAGAGGAGTTAAGCTCCTTAAAAATTAATTTAAAAATGTGCAATCTGAATTTTTGCTAAATTCATATCCTGGTCAATGCCTTACTGGTAAAAGAACAGAGTTGACAACAAATTATTACAATCCATAGTCAAAATCTATGGTCTGATTACCGATCAACCTGTTAACTCTAGAATTAGAAAAACAACTCATACAGGTTTAAAACTTAATCATAAATTATAATCTCAAGTTTGATATCTAATTATTCTAGTGATTAACGAAAAGAAAATTAACAAATCTTATATTAAAATTTTTTGCCAGATCTGTGATCATCTTGAATTATTCCTGACTAATTAAAGAATAAAGAATAGAAAAAACTATGTCCCATATCCAAGCCAATATCTGACATATAAAAGAACAGGATTGACAATAAAATTATAAAAACCATATTCAGAATCTGATCCCTAATCAGCCTGGCTAACTTTAAGAATAGAAAAACATAGAATTTACAATTACAAAATATAATAATAAATCATAATCTTAAGCTTGATGTCCGATTATCCTGGTAAGCTCCTGCCTTACAAAAAGACAAGAGAAATAATGTAAAAAAATCTTAAATCATAATTTCTCGCCGAGTCGTATCTGATTTTTTAAAGGACAGAAATTACAAAAAAAATCGTAAATCAGAGTTTTTGCTAGATCTCTCAAATGCAGGCCAATTTCTGACTTATAAAAGTACAGGATTGACAATGAAAATATTTTAAAAAATCCTTAGTCAGAATTTCATTGCTGGATCTCCGATTATCCTGGTTAATTCTAGTATTAAAGAAACACATGTTTATCAATTTAAAACAAATCATGGATCATATTGAAGCTCTTGATGTCTTTTTAATCCTGGTAAGCTTCTGACTTACAAAAATTGAAAAAAAAAAGAATAATGTAAAAAGTCTTAAATAATTTCTCGCCAAATCTTTGATCATCCTTGTATTCCCTCTGTCTTTTTAAAGGACAGAAATTACAAAAAAATCGTAAGTCAGAGTTTTTGCTAGATCTTTCATATGCAGGCCAATTTCTGACTTATAAAAGTACAGGATTGACAATGAATATGTTAAAAAAAACCGTAGTCAGAATTTCATTGCTAGATCTCCAATCATCCTGGTTAACTCTAGTATTAAAGAAACACATGATTATCAACTTAAATCAAATCATGGACTATGTTGAGGCTCTTGATGTCTTTTTTTATCCTGGTAAGTTTCCGACTTACAAAAGGAAAAGAGAAAGAATAAAGATAAAAAATCTTAAAACAGAATTTCAGAATGTCATGCCCTTCCTCGCATCATTTTGGATTACTTCTGACTTAACAAATGACCATAAGGAGAAAAAATTATATGTATTTAAAAAATCAATTCAAAAATCAAAATTTTTGCTAGATATCTCTTATCCTAGCCAATTTCTGAATTATAAAACACCATGATTGAAAATAAAATTTAAAAAAACATAGTCAGAATTTATCGTTAGATCTCTGATCACCCTGGTTAAATCTAGGAATAAAAACATGTTTATCAATTTAAACAAAATCATAAATCTTAATCTAAAGTGTAATGTTTCATAAAAGGGCATGATTTAGAGTGAAATGAAAAGAAAAATGAATCAGAATTAGTGGGCAGATTTCTTCTGACCACCCTGGCAAACTTCTGACTCATAAATGATCTCCGGTCATCTTCGTCCGCTTATGCTCACTGGTTTTGTCTGACAGTTATATTTCACTATGCACATTGGTCATTTATGATAGTGTGTAACTTATTGCAATAAGTACATGTTTATCGAAGGTTTGTTTGTCAAAGTAAGTTCTATTTTAAGATTATTTTACCATTTTTTTTTCGTTTTGAAGGAGAATTCTAAGGTGAATTGTGGGGATCTAAAACGTTGTGAATATTTTTAATCTAGATGTCTTTGGCTAATAATGTTCACAAAGTTTGCCTTATTCGAGTGGAACGAATTTATGATTGAAATTGTCGTCTATGCGGGGAAATGGAAGATAATCTCGTCCGGCCTTTCATCCAGCCGGTAAAAAATTTAATCTCCGTCCACCACGGAGTCGAAATATCGTTGGAAATCCGATGTTTCGAGGAGACCGCAACGGTGACAAGGGCTAACAGCCGCCCTAATCGGCCTAAAGGAGCTGAAAATTGCCGTAACAGGTAAAGTGAGAAATCCGGCGGAAACTATCGAATTCTACGCTCTCAAACCATCCCGGGGATGCTCAAGAACAAAATGAGAAAGGTCGGAGGACAAAAAACCGGTTCTGGGGGTCTTAAAAGTCGTTTAGAGCCGGAGCCGGCCTAGGAGATATTTTTGCTCCGAATGCAAATATTTTATCACTTCTTTTACGACTAAGGAGTCAACGACCTTCTTTATGTAAAGCTTTTGTATTCGCTATCCTTAAGGATCTTCTAATTTCTCAATATATTAATATTCGACATTGCTGAGTTGCTCGTAGAGTTTTACTTTTAATGCAGGTCTTTTTTGAAGGCCGTTCGCCGATCATAAAGAACTACAAAGACGAGAGTTTATCGCCACTGAAGCAGACAGGTTATGACCTGTCCTGAAAGGTCATAACACACCAGATGATTTTTTCTTTATATAATCGCTAAACCGTTTGAATCTTTCTTTTCTAGCCAATTAAACTCTTGACAGTCGGAAAATCTAAATTGTTTTACCCAACAATTCAAAAATTTTCAAGATTTGGTGTTTTAAATTGCGATTCCCGTGTGAAAAATGTCACCGGGCATAAACGGCGAGGAAGTACGGCCTCATAAATCATCGGCTACTGGTAGCCGGTGTTGTCCAGGCGTCGAAGTTGGGCGGGAGATGATAATAAATATAGCTTCTCGTTCCCCCAGTTAGATGATTATTATAATTGGACGATTATTACAATTGCTCCCGGTTAAATTACACCACGCTAAACAGAGGGCCGGCGGACCGACGGATAATAATAAAAAAAATCTACGCTTGGGCCTCTCGTCGGAAGAAGAGTTGACTTCATTTATTCAATAAAACTATAGAAAACCCATTAAAAGAAATTTTCTAATAAAAAAAAAGCAATAAAAATTCAACAACTCTAAACCTTTCTAATTGTTCACTTGAAGAACCAACCTCATCAGCTTACCTATTTCCCATCCTCATAAATAAGTTTTCTTATCCACCTACGCTTCGGTGTAAAAGACATAACATTCCAACCTACCTTCCCGGAAGATGGAAGAGACTGGGAGAAAAGAAAGGAAATAACTGGGATACTCGGATAATTGAGGTCCTTCTATCCATGTAGAGAAACCATTCTGTTTAAATGTAGAAATAATAAAACAAAATAAAGACCTGTCTTCACTATACTCAGCTATTCTCAAATCAGTTTATTTTATACCTGGCAAATATATTATCTTTAAAACACTGATAAATATATACTATTTCAAAGCTATGATAGTGCTTATTAGTGATTAATGAACTTCATTGTATTATTTGTTCTAATAGTATCAAAATAAATGTTAAATAGTTTGGGTCATTTTAGATCGATATTTGTTCAAGAAATGAAATTTATTATCAATTTAAGTCAAAGGTGATTGAGATTTGTAAAGAAATTTAAAAATAATTAACGATTTTTCCTAAAGAACGTCATGTGACTTCTTAGAAATATAAGCTAGAAATTCAATTATTTGAAGCCTAACTAGTTTTCCTAAGTCTGTTTCGAGCTCATGTAATACAGGTGTATAAACTTATAATCATTTTTGTATTACATTACTATTTAAGAAAAGCTTAAGCTGGACAGAAATATTCAAAAGATTTATCGTAAATTTTGTAATTTGCCCTTTAATTTCCGCTTGGAAGAGTTGTCTGTTGATAGGGAAGAAAAATTATCAGAAAGACCTGGTGTTTTTGTCCCGTAATATGTTTTCTTTAATTTTGAATTAGAAGTCGCCCCATACTGTTGCATAAATTAAAGGAAAAAGTCTTCAGTCACTTTCTTTACGTATGTAAGCAAATTAAAGGAAAATCGTTCATTTTTACTGCTGTACTTTTGCGTTAATATTGGGTTACAAGTTATCCCATAGTGATAGAAGAAAATTTTCCTTTAATTTTTTCATGGAAGAGTTAGTTGTACCTTAAAGCAGTGCAAAAATTAAAGAGAAGAGTTTTGACCCCCTCTTAACACATTTGCGTTAATTTTGAATTAAAAGTCGTTCTATTCTAGACAAAGAGATGTTAACTCGACAGGAAAATTGAATATAAGTTTTATCATTTTTCTTCTATTTGACTTAGAAGCTTCATCCTACGCTAGTGGTAAAAAATTAAGGGAAAATTCTTGAATACGTACGTTTTCTTTAATTTTGTGCTAGAAATTGTTTCATATTTGTAAAAATAAACGTTAACTGGAACGTTTTTTTGCAAATTTTGTAATTGCCCTTTAATCTTAACTCACAAGAGCCGTCCGTAACGATAACACCAAATTAAAGGAAAAGCTCTGAGCTTGACTCACCTGTAATATTTTGGCTTTAGTTTTAGGAGAGAAGTCGCTGCGAAAAAGTTAACTGGGCAGAAAAATTCAAAATAAGGTTTGTAATTTTCCTTTAATTTTGACTTGCACATGAAATGCTATACTAATGTGGAAGAATTAACCAAAAGTTCTACTTTTTTTTTAATACAGAGAGACGTTTTCATTAATTTTGTTATCGAAGTCATCCCAAATTTATAAAAAAACGGTAATTGGCCAGTAAGATTTAAACTTGCGCATTTTCCATTTAATTTATACTTAGAAGTGTGGCTGTTTGACTGTAGAAGTGTTGTATTTCCATACTTGCAAAAAAGTCAACTGGATAATAAGATTTAAACTTTTTAAATTGTTCTTTAATCTTAACTTAGACGAGCAGGTCCGTACTGATGATTGACGGCCAAAAAATTAAAGGAAAAGTCAGGATTTATCATTCTGTAGTACTTTTTCTTTAATTTTAGCCTAGAAGTTCACGCGAAAAAAGTTAACAGAACAAAAAAGTCCAACATAAGTTTTGTTTCTTTAATTTTATATTATTTAATTTAATAAGGGTCCATACTAATAAAGAAAAAGTGAAGGAAAAAATCTTGATTTTTTGAATAAGTTTTCTTTTATTATAGTATAAAAGTCGTACGTTCTGGAGTAGTAAAATTAAAGTAAAATACCTAATGATAATTGTAATGTTTTTCTTATTTTTGCGTATATGTTGGAAAAAAATGAAAATAATTTTAAATAACCATGTGCGCAAGATATAAATGTTGGTTTTCAATTTACCCAATTTACTATTTATCCTGTTACAATAGCTTTTTATTTTGATTAATCATGCAAATATTTCTTTGCTCTGTTTAAAATTGAACAAATCTTGATTTTTTGACGATACAGTGCCAGGAAATTAATGTGTCAGTCTATAACGAGGCCACTTGTCTATATTTTGAAACCGATTCATCTCCCCACAGGAAAAAAAAAGAAAAGATAACGGATGTATTGTTTGCCGCAGTAATTATTGAACCGTGTGATGCCGTGAACACATAAATAGCGCCAGGATCATAATTGTCCGATGAACTTTTTTTTATTGTTCTCACTGGTATTATGGGTTTAAATAGTGTTTAAACTGTTAAAGTGTTTGATAATTCAATTGGAATATGTAAAAGCTTAGAGTTAAGACAGTTCCGCATGGATTAGTGTGTAGCGGTTAACATTAGCAGTGGTGTATTGAATCGTAAACGTCGTACTTTGTATGCTAACGAGTCTTCCTGGAATCGGGAAAATGGAAATCGGAAATAGTGTTTGTTGGCTTAAAACTAGACTTACCGGCGAACGCCAGGAATGCCAAATGTCGTTTCATTCTTCCTTCGTGCTCTTTTCAAAATTGGAATCGTCTCTCTTTCTACCACCGGCAGGACCTCCCCGTGTTAATCCTTTTCGATCGTCCGAATCGTTCTGAACCTCCTCGGGATATTCTCCAGGATCAGCTTGCCAACCAAGTTCCAGAGCCGGGAGTCGGACTGAGACTGAAATCCGTTTTTGAAACGGTTTCTGGGCCGTCTCCGATCCCGGGGGGGACCGGCCCAGATTCTCCCCTCCAGGATGGCCGGCCGAACCGGGACCCGGGACTGCCGAGCAACAGGGAAAAGCTCTTCAGAGCCGAGAATCTCGACCGAATGACAGACAGATTGTGAAAATCGGTAAATCAAACACTTCAGGGTGAAAGATTTGCGTGGCAAGTCCGATGCGCTCGTCGGAAGACGAAGACGGCCAAGTAAATTTTGAGTCGGTTGGTTGGTAAGACAAAATTAAATATTAAAAACGAGAATGAACATTTGGTGAATATTTAATCTTGGCTCATTAGGAGTATAATTAAATAATGTTTATCAACGGGAAAACAAGAAAACCTGAACTTATCATTCTACTTTAAAAAAAGTCAACTAAAAAAACCACTAGCAAAATAATGCTCTCAGAGAACAACCAATAATAAAATTTTGTTAAAATTTAATCAATTAAACATTGTTCATTTAGATAATTGTCAGGAATGGCTGTATTTATCCAGAAATGTTTTTAGAATGCAATCCAGGGTTGACATAATACACTCTGAAAAGGTAATTTTTTTTTAAATTCACTACACAGATCGATTTACTAAAAGTTTTTCTTTACAAATTCTCATACTTGTTTTGCTTTTGTATTAGCTGCGAACAGTAATATATCATTCTGATTACATAAGACGTAATTTAAGACCGTAGCTGATCCCTGGTCCGCCTATTCTCGCTCGGTCTGTATGCCAGACGCGTATTGGCATTTCGCCATCTCCTGTGGTTGCGGTCTGTCGGACGACCGATCTGTAGGTTCATCACCTCGCAGACCTCACCACAACTTTTCACAACACCTCCGAGGTGTTGAAGAAGGTCTAGACAAAGGTGTCTTTCTGCTGGGTTGAATTAAGCAGATACTTGAGTGAGGCAAATATTCTTGTAAATCTGACATTGCGGTTCATCGACCCTGAGTTCACCCTGCGTAAATTTCCTAATGAGCCTGATTTATTTTGCGTTGTCATGTTTTTAAAGTGAACGTTTCTGTTTTATTTAGAGAACAGTGGAGCCTAGGGTGTAATCTGTGTGTCCGCAGAATGTCGTCGGGTTTCTTGCGAGCCTGCAATCCATCGGGAGAGAAACCCGTCTAAAAATAGACCTACGATGCCCTCCTCCTGATCGAAATAAGGTTGGGGAAAGTCAAAAAGTCCCCTTCTCCTCTAGGGCAAAAGTCGAAAAAGCGACTACGTCTTACTTTCTACAGTCTTCCCCACTCGGGCGAGATATCGCAACGAAGGGAGGGGCGATGGAAGAGTGTGAAAAGGAGTATCAAGGTCAACTTTCTAGGTCATACCGACGTCTCTATAGGACGAGACGATTGGTAAAATCTCTTCTGCGTGCTGAGACGCTGGGAAGTGTGACCACGTCTAAGATAATGACCAGGGACCTCCGAGTTTCACGGATTCGCGTATTACGCCGATAACTGGCCATTAAGGTTCTCACATTAGACCTTAAAATCTCCTTTTATGATGCCCAAATGGACGACAATTTAATTTTTGTAAGTGGAGAAATGGTAAACGACTGAGAAACTCGGGAGGCGTGGTATGTCAACGAACAGCCAATAAACAATAACATAAAATAACCAATTTACAGCAAAAAAATAACAAAATCAAGCCCGATGCTTCATAAAAATGAAAGAATAATGAAAGTATGTACTTGGAAAAACATGTCCAATTCCCGCGTAAGGAGAATATAAAAAAGGACTTATAATCAACTTTGAATTGTATAAATTTGCCTTACTATTAGAAAAAATTATGAACATAGACAAGAGCAGAAATATTCGAAAGATTTTACCTAGTTAAGTTTAAACTACTTAAGCTTTGAACTTTTTGTTTAATTTTGACTTGGAATATTTGGCTAATGATAATGAGAAAAAATAATATAAAAACCCTCATGATTTACCCCTATAGTTTCTTTAATTTTGAGCTAAAATTCGTCCCGTACCGGTGAATTAAAATTAAAAGAAAATCCCTGATGCTGCCCCTGTAATGCATATTCTTTAGGTTTAAAGTCGTCTTAAACAATTCGATAAATATTTGAAGGATTAAAGAAAAATCTTGAAAATTTTGTTACCGTAATATTTTTATTTATTTTTGGGTTTAAACTTGTCCAATACAGTTGAATGAATTTTCAAGGGTTAAAGGAAAATCCTGAAATTTTCTTACAGTAATATATTTTCTTTAATTCTGGGTTTAAAGTCGTTTTATACAATTGAATAAAAATTAAAGGATTAAAGAAAAATCCAGAAAATTTTCTTTCCGTAAAATTTTTGGGTTTAAAGTTGTCCAATACAGTTGGATAAATTTTCAAGGACTAAAGGTAAATCCTAAAATTTTCTTACACTAATATATTTTCTTTAATTGTGGGTTTAAAGTCGTCTTATACAATTAGATAAAAAATTAAAGGATTAAAGAAAAATACAGAAAATTTTCTTTCCGTAAAATTTTTGGGTTTAAAGTTGTCCAATACAGTTGGATAAAATTTCAAGGATTGAAGGTAAATCCTAAAATTTTCTTACACTAATATATTTTCTTTAATTGTGGTTTAAAGTCGTCTTATACAATTAGATAAAAAATTAAAGGATTAAAGAAAAATACAGAAAATTTTCTTTCCGTAAAATTTTTGGGTTTAAAGTTGTCCAATACAGTTGGATAAAATTTCAAGGATTGAAGGTAAATCCTAAAATTTTCTTACACTAATATATTTTCTTTAATTGTGGGTTTAAAATCGTCCTATACAATTGGATAAAAAATTAAAGATTAAAGGAAAATTCTGAATTTTTTCGGTTATATGCTTTCTTTAATTTTGGGTTAGAATTCGTCCCATTCTGATGCAAATTGATGGAATAGCTTTGATCTGTGTTCAGTCCGTTTACGTTTGCTTAATTTGAGCTACAAGATCCGGCGAAAGAAAAATTTACATTTTTTACTTATAATACGTATGATTTAATTTTGACTTAGAAATTATACCACAGTGATGAAGGAATAATTAAATTGACAAAACGATTCAAGATAAGTTTTGCAATAAGTTAGTTGTGCCATATATACAGCTGCAGAACAATTAAACGAATAGTCCTGATTTCTGCCCTCCACCAGTATATATATTTTTTTTTTCAACATAACATTTTATAGCTTATTTTCTCTTGTCTTAAAAGATTCATACTATACTATTGTAGAAAAAATAAAGAAAAAATCCTCGTTTCTAAATCCTGTGAAACGTTTTCTTTAATTTTGGTATAGACCCCCCACACTTGTAAAAAAAGTATTGGACAGTAAGGTTTGAACTTTTGTAATTTTCATTTAATTTGGACTTAGAACAGCACAATGATGATAAGATAATTGAAGTAAAAGTCATAAATTGTTTTAAATTCCTGTAATAAGTTTTATTTAGTTTTGGGTTGGAAATCGTCCCATAATTGCGAAGAAAAAACTAACTGGACAGAAAGATTCAACAAAAGTTTTATAATCTTCTTTTAATTTTGACTTAGATGAGCCAGCCCATACAAATAAAGAAAAATTAAAGGAAAAGTCATGATTTTTAACATAAACAACGAATTCACAGCAGAAAAATGTAACAAAATCATGTTTATTAATAATATAAGAAGATTGTTCGAAATGAATGCAGTATACATTCAAAATTTGGGACTGTAACCTGTCTTCACACGTGAGAAGGATACAAAAAGGTCTGAATAAACGGAGACCTTCTGTCTACCGCTACCACGAAGAACATGTGATAAATTGGTCACTAGAAACAACCTCTAGCATAAATATATTGTCAAGCCTTTGAAGAAAACCAGATGACACTTACATGGTTAATCATTAAAACTAACTTGTGCTTATGTAACTTGGCCTCATTTATATATTTTAATTGTACTTTGGTGTCATTAAATGCTTCTACGGTGGCATATTTCGAGTAAAACATGACTTTAAATGTAATGACTACCTTTAACTAATTAAAGTAATGGGAAGATTTTGATTGGTCTGATTGATCTGACCTGCCAGATGTGTTTCAACATTTTTCTTTCTTCAGTGGTTAGTCTGTTCGTAATTTCGTCAGCTATGTTCTGTTATAAGTCATAAGCAGATCAGATTGACCAGGAACGATCAAACTAAATTCCCCATAAAATGATAATTAGTCAATCAGAGATATCTATCGTCAATACATAATATGAATATGTATAACTAAGAACAATTGACCACCACTAAGGTAGTAGTTATGTGTAACTTAATTTCTCCGTTCATCCTTGTCAGCCTATGCTCGCTGGTTTTGTGGGTCAGCCGCGGCTTAGCATAAAGCTTCAGTGGTTTGTCTGTAAGGTTTTTGTCTATTGTGACTATAAGTCAGAAATATAAGTGTATCATATAAACCATATTAAAAATAAGGTATCAAAAAATTTTATTCCAACCAGTGGATTTTCAGCAAGACCACTTGATAAAGCATAACTAACAATTATGAATCATAATTTGTACGCCTGTCCTCGTGGTTTTGTCAACATATAATATATGACTTAAAAAAAAAAAAAAAACACATAGACCATTCGACATAATTGTCATCTATAGTTTCATCGTCGCCCATCATCATGGTCCACATATTCCCGTTGGTTTTGACTGTTGCATTATGCCAGCAGTGGTTGGTCTGTGTGTATCGTGTCCTTCTGTAAGTTTAAAGTAACCAAGATCTTTAGATAAAAAACGCCAATTAGACAAATTTCCTGAAAATTAAGTAGCGTGTTTTTTTATCAGATCCGATCAGTGGTATTTCATTTTGGAAACTTGATATTATGTAGCTTGGCTCTGGTCCACTCAGCCTTGCTGGTTTTACCATCTTCATTGGTTAGAATACAGGAAGCCTCAATAATAACAAGATTTAATTTTTTAAAATATATAACTAGTCAATTACTGATGAAGGATTTAGTGGTTGGCCT